TTGTCACTCATTCTGCCTCAGTTCTAGTAACGGTGACGTATGCGAGCCTCAGTCCTTTACACTCCTTCTCCCCGGCGTGTCGGACCGCAGCTAACAATTATCTCCGTATGCATTTCATTCTCAGCAATAGCCTAGCCTCCCCAGCGTATACGACCCATCTGATGTCTCTTACGTCAATCAATTCATTCACGGATGTAGAAGACTCGAAACAACTTCAGAAGTAATCACGACGAAAATTTTAACAAAATTATGCAATAACAACAAGGTACGAAAACAACGAGTAAACACAATGAATCCAAAAACACCAATTCATATGACACACCACACGTATATACAAATAGTACAAAGAACCTCGCCCATCATGTCTTGGTGGAATTCCTTTGAAGAATTGTAGGACTTACAGCAGTACGCCTACAACCCTTCTCAGGTTGACGCCCTAAGTTGGAAAATCGTCGCAGAGTTCATTTGCTGACTTCCTTCTATGAGCTATATCCTCAAATCTGAACGGTAACACGCTCATGTCATTGTATCGTAGAATATAGATGACGAACAAACATACGACGTATCTGGTCAACCAAGCGTAGAAACAGAGTAATTTACACCAAAGATAATAGCATCCAAATAGTAACTTGAAACTAGAAATGCCTTTATTCATGCAAGTCAATTTGACAATTACCCTCTCGTTTACACTTGGCTTATTCTCACTAAACTCAGCAATATCTTTCGTCCTTTCAAATGCACCAATACTATCATAGTCATTGCACAAGAGACTTGAGTTAATGGGCGACTGTTTTATTGTGGATGACAACACCAACGACGGCTGATTGATATCAGTTGATGAAGTTGGCGGTGGATCAGAAGCTGTTGTTGCTCGACTTTCAGAAATTTGTCTGCATGCAAGACCACCACCACTGCCGTCTTTTACAATCAGCTCTGGCTTAGCACTAGCATCTGATGATAGGTGGGCTACATGCTGATCAATCACACTGACGGTCTGACAAGTATGCGCTCCTTCTGCATCTGCATTTATTTCCACTTCACGTTCAAGTTGTACAGAATCTTTGTTCAACTTAGCAGTAGTAGGCATATCCCTCATCTCATCATGATCAACCAAAGACAACTGTGAAGTATCATGATCATTATCACGAATATTCACTTTACCGTCAACTTTATCATTTTCAAACTCTTAAATAGCAGAAGTAGACAATTTTGGTTCCTCCTCGCAAATCATAAAAGGTTTTATAACTTCACTCTGACTAGTAATACCTTGTAAACTTGTAGGGTCAGAACTGCACTCTGAAGCAGTAACTCTATTCTGTGACACTCTATTCAACAATGGCTTACCAGTTGCAACTACAGACTTCTTCGCCGCACCGTTATCGTCACACAATTCGGAGTCAGGCCTGGGGTTTACATTTAGCTTATCACTGAACTTTCTTACTGGTTCACAGTTCACCTTTGTATGCACCTCTTGTAAACGTGTAAAACACAACCGTGTTTGTCTTGCATCTTGTAACTTATCTGTTGAGGATGTACTACGAAACCTGTTACACTCACTAGGTCTATATGCATTAATGGACATCATGGAGCCTTCTCGATATCCACCTCTTTGAGGCCTATTCGTCATCAATGATTGCGTTTTACTCTCAGACTGCTCTATTCTAGGGGTGAGATTCAATATACTGGCAAACTTGCTCATCGATTGATTGACACTATCTTTTACTAGTTTCAGGATATCATCAAATTTTGGATCGACATCCTCTTCCTCCATACGGGAGCTTATCTTCACCCACTTCCTTTGCAGTCGAGTAGGTAGGTGTCTTGCTATTACTTCTAGTATAAAACTCGAGTTGAGGTCACTCATGCAATTCATAGAAATCAAGGTATTCTTATAAGTCATAAGATTATCTGAAATCTCAGTAAGTTCCTTGGAGTCATTTTGAAGTTGACTGCCGTCACCTTTGACAGCTTCGTATACGTTCTTTACAATCATTGAAGGTCTTCCAAACCTTTGACGTAATATGCTCATAGCCTCATCGTAGCCCTCTTTCGGCTTCATAAACTTACAACACTGTATAGCTCTTGCAGCATCTCCAGTGCAATACCTCATCAAATACATTGACTTCATTTCATCACTTAATAAAAAACTACTCAACATGATCTCAAACTCCTTTACAAATTGTAAATAATCAGCCGAGTTTCCATCAAAACACCGTGGTTCAAATTTAGGGAGTTTGATGTTCCTATTATCCCTGAACGGCGAAACAGTAACATCAACCATGTCATGCTTAACATCAGACACATCGTTGCAAGTAACAGACAAGTCACCATGACTTACTTTCCTGTTTGCATCCAAGACACTCTGTCCCTTCTTTGACCCAGGCATTGTTGAACTTGACCCAATTCCAAAAAGGTTCCAGATACTGCTTGTTCAAAGAGGACTTGACCGGGACCAGGAAAGATGAACGGTGACTATCCAAACTGTCACCAGCGGTCCAAAACCGTCCAAAACTGACTTCACTGTCAGAAACTGTCAGCCACGTCTCGTAAACCGTTAATGCCCAGCCCTTGCTACGCTCGGGCTCACGCTGTCTCTTGAAGTTTCTCAGAAACACTTAGTAATAACGGACGCATAAACTAAAACACCGATTGGCCGCTTGAGATTTCTTTATCGTAACACCAACATATAAAAAATAATTCCACTACGGTCTGTGAACAAATATTACAATAATAAATCACAATATTACTTCTGACTGTTTGTTGCTGACTTCCTTCTGAACAGCGACCGATGAGACGATGACTGTCGTATTGATGCCTCCGCGAAAATTGGGGAAGTTGGTTTTGAGCAAACAACCAAGAATTGATCGTTCAATCTTCAACTGCATTGAAATAGGTAAATACGATGGATCTGTGTAAACTGTTGATAAGGCTCTTCGTTTTCGTTGAGATGCCAAACGCAGATCCTGCGTCAACTAGGAATTCTGTTCCAGAGTTTTTATCTTTGACTTAGTATGAGCGACAGGTCGGGTATCCGTTCTCAGGTACCGACAACCGAGGAGTTAATTGCTTCTGTGTCGCCTGTGAAGTGGTTTAGGTCAGACGCATGGTTATGTGCACTTCTTCGAATGTGTACCTGGCCAACAGTGATACTAACAGAATTGTCTTGCCGGTATGGTTTGTCCAGGTATGCATCGTGACTGGAAAAATTGTTTGTTACCAAATCTACATCGATTGTCTTGTGTTAGCTGTATTTGTGACGGTGTTACTGTCGTTGATCTGACGTTACCCACTTATGGCCTCCAACATGATGTTCTGAGACTCACTGCTTTATAGGTTGAAGCAATCCTCAACCTGAACAAATCGTAGTTCCAGATTGTGTCAATCCACCTAACTTTCATGGTTGCTGAAGAATATGCATCTCTAGAAATAGTTTCTGAAGTCATTCTCCATGGCTGGAAAGTGAGGCATTGTAGCGGTCGAAAATTCAATTGACAGTCCCGTGCGGGTCAAGGTGGTTCGAAGAAACAGTCAAGAAACAGTGCCCGAGCCTTTTACTGACAATAGTAATGGGGCATTTCAGACGAGTAAAGCTCAGCAGTGTGGGAACTAACTTTTTTATCAGTATAGTTACCCATGCTACCTAAAATTTATGCGTGTTCAGGAATAAAGCAGTTTGAGCAGAAAACATGTTTTCCAAGTACACCTGGCTGCAACTGGAGCCGGAAGACCTAAACAAACACACATGAGGGCACTCGTCACTATAACTCAGGGGGAAAAGAAGCTTCAAACCGCCAAGAAGGCATATTTCCTACTTGGCTGCTCGTCTACCCCTGAATACCTTAAGTGCTAATTAACTCTGGATGGCTGTGGAGTTTTGTGTCGTAGAAACACTCCTACGTAATTGTACAACAATCCCATGTATCTTACTCTTAACTATTGCGTATTCTTATGTTAAGTCTTGACTCCTACTATATGCAGTACCGAGGACCGCAAAGCAGCAATATTTTTCGTGAATTTTAGCTTACCAAATGGCATCAAAGGTGACCCCTGCTTCACTTGCCATTGGTCCTATAGGTGCTTTGATGTTGCTGTGGTAATAGGCATGCTTTATGTATCTCTGCCATCTTAGCAACAGCGCAACTGCGCCTCACACAAAGTTCATTTAGGACTGAAATGCATAAGCTAACACATACTCAAATATTCATTACTGTTTGACATCCTATTCCAAGTGTTTAAGACTGTCGTAATGCTATTTTTCTGGACAATAAACTTTGTTCAGTTAAAGCAGGAAGGAGAGCAACTGTAATTTTTATTTTTTTAAAGGTAGATTTATTAGGGTATAAGACGGACACAGCTGAATTATAAAAGCAAGCCATATGTACCTAAGGGACAAGTGACACTTCTTCCAGTTTGAATGATAGTGTCCACTTTGCTTAGAACCAATCTCATTTAATAAAATAACCATCCTTATAACCACTGTATCGTTTAATGAATTAAGTAGCACTTGTAACTCAAGCTGTCAATAATGATGTACATTGAGCTTTTAATTTGATTTTAGGTTGAAATGATGCTGAAGTAGGGCGATGGACACTGAAAACTGCATCGTTAGGAAAGATAACAACAACGAAGTGTCAAACAAAATGGATTATATATACCAACATGAAATTACGAAAATACTACTGAATATGTATAACTTTGGAACCAACTGGAAAATTCACTCCATCAGATATCCTCTACGGATTCGTATCACCCGAAATTTATCGCTACAGGCTTACAAGATGTAGAGACGCAGACCAAATAAATTCAGTAGCTTTCTCGTGCGTGCTACTGGCTCCCATTAGGGATCGATAGTTTCCAGAAATACTACGCATTCAAGTCTTAATACTTCCATAAATAAAGAATTTTTATTCAAACTTATACTTTTATAGGAGTTATGATGAGTGTACTGGTTTGATAAACGTTCCTGAGTGAAAGTACCTCAGATTTGTATTCACCGCGTAGTTTTGTTCTTCCGTTACGATAGTTATTCGAAACATTTAGCGGGTTTTCGTTATGCCAGATAAACGTGGTTTGGCAGTTCAAAATGTAGATGATTTGGTAAGTTGTATATAATTGTATTTGGAGTTCGCAGGATGCATCGAAACTTACTGCTCTGTCACCAGAGGTTATCAGTCGTCAGGCTACTATAAACATTGGGACTATCGGTCATGTCGCTCACGGGAAAACCACAGTTGTTCGTGCTATTTCAACTGTTCATACCATTCGACACAAAAACGAACTGATCCGGAATATCACGATAAAACTGGGATACGCCAATGCAAAGATATACAAATGCAACAGCGAAGCTTGTGTACGTCCTGGCTGTTACCGTTCCTACGGAAGCGCTACTGATGACAGCTTACCATGTCCTAGGCCTGGTTGTGATGGCACGTTGATATTACAGAGGTAATCCATGAAATGTTTTAACGAGTAGTATTAGCTTACGAGTTTGAAGCTTTACTCTGACTATCTTATCGTACAAGGTTGTATCGTTTGTCTGTTTAAAAATAGGAAATGTCTTATGTTTGTTTTGCTTTTATTCGTAAATTGAATCCTTTCATTTCACAACCTTATTTTATTAATGTGTGTAACGTCTCACTTGTCCTTTAATATAGTTTAGTAGAATGTGGCCAGATTTTGTTTCATTAGTAGGAATCAGCTGACGTTCGGTGATATAAACTTCTCAAAAGCTAGTTGAAATGGTGAGCTAACGAGTTGATAGTAATAAGATTTATCATCTTGGAAGTTATTCTTAAGTGATTTATTTGGTCAAAAAAGTAAAAGTCTAATGTATTACCTCCAATGGTTAGTGGTTTTTGACTGATTCGTCTACGCTAGGAAAACTACATAGTGCAAATCTGTCATAGCAGATTTCATTCACGGAGTTCATTACAGAGGCTTAGGTAGCTTTTCGATTTATCCTGATTTACTAAGGCTAGTGATTACGCAACTACCGTGACTCAATTGTTATACTTTCTGTACTACACAGTGGAATATACTACCTTTCATTCCTATGGCTTTTACTGTAACACAAGCTGATGTGGTTTATGTATTTGTCTAAGTCTTCCTTAGATATGCACATGGCATTTACCTCGTATGGAGTTATCACATGAAAATTCAGAACCTTTATGTATGATAGTGTTTCTAAAATTTATTAATCTCTTTCCACTAGGCACGTTTCGTTTGTGGATTGTCCAGGCCATGATATTCTCATGGCAACTATGTTGAACGGTGCTGCTGTAATGGACGCTGCGTTATTATTAATAGCCAGTAATGAAGCATGCCCTCAGCCTCAAACCAGTGAGCATTTAGCCGCTGTAGAAATTATGCAACTGAAGTATATTATTATTCTTCAGAATAAGATTGACTTAATCAAGGAGAGTCAGGCTCGTGAGCAATATGCACAGGTAAGTTACTTTTAAGAGTATAATTTCGGATAGCTGTCCTATTTATCAGTCTTCTGATTAATCTAAACTGCGTTATATTACTGAATCGTTCAATGTAACATTTTTGTCTCATCTACTTGGAGTGAATTTATGGGGTGTAGGGGAGATTACATGTATAGATCGGTTTTTTATTAGCTTATTTTTGCAATAGTTGAAGCATGTCACCGAGGATTGAAATGCTTTACTTAGTACTTTTGAAGCTGTAACTTTAAAAAAAAAGATTGCATGGAGAACCTATACACCCTAGTGTTTTAACTGGAGAGATGTACTTGCTCCTTTTGTATTGATCAGATGAATTAACCACCACGCTAATATATTCCTTTTTAGATCTTGCGTTTTATCCAGGGTACTGTTGCTCAAGGTGCCCCAGTTGTTCCTATATCTGCACAACTGAAGTATAACATTGACGTTGTTTGTGATTATATTGTAAATCACATTCCAGTTCCAGTGCGCGATTTTACGTCGGCACCTCGTCTAATAGGTGAGTTGTTTAATCAAAAGTAAAGTTTGCAATGCTGAAAAAGTTAAGTAAAAATTCACGAATTAATAAATATTCTGTCACATGCTTGTTTTTAGTTATCAGATCCTTTGATGTGAATAAGCCTGGCTGTGAAGTGGATGATTTGCAGGGTGGAGTAGCTGGAGGGAGCATCTTGCGAGGAGTTTTAAAGGTAAGCACTGCCATATACCACAGTATGTAATTTTCCATCTTTAAGCATTCAATTTTCAGTTCACCGTAGTGTATTAGTCACTAGGATGGGATTTTTCACTGTTTTTTATTGGTTTTAACTCTGACTATTTTAACTTGATGTGATTTCTTTATTAGGTAGGACAGAAAATCGAAATCCGACCAGGTCTTGTTTTAAAAGATCCTGAAACAGGAGGTGTCACGTGTAAACCTATTATTTCATGCATTGTTTCGTTGTTTGCGGAGCAAAATGATCTCGCTTATGCCGTACCAGGAGGTTTAATTGGAGTTGGAACTAAAATTGACCCACAATTATGTCGGGCTGATCGTCTGGTTGGACACGTCTTAGGTGAAGTTGGTACTCTACCCGAAATTTATGTCGAACTGGAGATATCATTCTTTCTTCTACGACGTCTGTTAGGTGTTCGCACTGAAGGTGACCAAAAGGGTGCAAAAGTAAGTTGTCCGTTTTGTAGCATGTATTTGCATATTGGTTATGTATCATCCTGATTCTTTCCTAGTTATGTAATCTTAAGTGGACAGTGAGGAGGTCTGTTTAATCCATAGTAGTCAATTTGGTTGATAAAAAATTAACTTCAGTGAGCGACTAGTTTGTCTGATTTGGGACTCTATCTCTAACCACGCAATTGCTGATATAATTTTGCCAAACACCTGTTGTGTGTGCACATACCGTCGGTAATTGTACTTGATATTCACGGAGCAATATATTAAAAGTCAGTCTCTATGGTGCAGTTGAATGTCTAGACTGTAACGTAAGCAATGTAGCTTCAAAACAAAATCTCATCCGAATGTTACGACAATTTTTTTTTTCACCTGTGTATTCAGTCAACAGAAATGTACTATTCAATGAAATTCATCCATTTTAAGTGATGTAGAAGTAAAGCTGGAAACGTTTGTGATGAATGTTTTAAATTGTGTACAATATTTTTCGTCATAACTTTTCTCTGATTAACTCATTTACTGTGTACAAGTATGAGACTTCATAGGATAATTGCTACGCTACTGATTATCATCATCGCTTGATAAAAAAATGCTTATTTTTCTTGTAAAGGCAACATCTAGAAATTTAGTGTTTTCTTTATGCAGGTACAGAAACTATCTAAAAACGAAGTCTTGATGGTGAATATTGGTTCTCTTTCAAGTGGTGGATGCGTAATAGCTGTTAAAGGCGATCTTGCAAAAATCCGACTAAACAGTCCTGTTTGCACTCAGGTGGATGAAAAAATTGCGTTGAGCAGACGTGTAGAGCGACATTGGCGGTGAGTATTAGCTACGAACATTGTATTTTCTTAAGAGGTTCATAGCATGTTTCAATTTAATCTAATGTATGTTGTTTCTTTTTTCTCATTTCAGTTTGATTGGTTGGGGGGAGATCCGACGTGGTGTTACCATTCAACCGATCCAATAGTTAAAACATGTAATCATATCCGTTTTGCCACTCAAAAAGGAAGATACGTTGCCGTGATTGTTTATTATGTATACTCTATGCCATCTCACTACATCGCTCTGTGTAACTTCGGTTGTTGTCTAAACAAGTGTTTTGTAACCTGGATTCAGTTGTTACTTCTATTTTCTATGGTGACATTTGTATCTACGAATCAGTTGCTAATATACTCTTAAGCGCTACGTATGAATGCATCTTTGCCTTGCTTCTAGCAAATAAGTATTGAGTTTGGTCTCACTGATTGTTGGAAGCTGAGGTTCATTTTCCGACGCCTGGACGATTGAGTATTATCATCAGGCGTTACAGTAAGTAGCATGCGTCGTAACTTCCGGATAAAATGACTTTTGAAGGACTGACTGATCATATCCCCAAATACCGCTCCAACTTCTGAGCGTTATGTCGTTAGCTGTTGTATGGTGATCGTGGCTCACCACCAACTACAAAAACATGCGCCTGGTGCATCGGTTGTTGCTTGTTTACACGTACTAAGTGTAAGCGTCTCACAAAATTCTTGGCTATTAAACTGTATGCTACTTCTGTCTGCACTTTGATATCGTCTTTCACTTAATTATGTAGCACGCTCAGTTTTATGAAAGGATTCGTTGTTTTGCAAATATTGTTAAGTTAAAGTGACTGTTAGTACTAATATTGAAGTTTTATCTTATATGTTGCGTGAGAACATAGAAATCCTAAATGTCAATGCATAAAAAGCTGGAAGGGTGGGGGCACAATATCGTCTGTTAGTATCGGTCTGTTTAGTTACTTTTATAACATACAAGCATCAACAATTAGGCAATTAAACTTTGTAAATCGGTCATCTGCAGCTTCATATCTTTTCTAAATTATGTGCATCGGTTATGGCTTATGTTGAAGTTATAAACTGTCTGCGACATGATAAAGATATTTCCTGAAGACGAAATTGCTGAGAATCCGGTCCTTTGATCTGCTTACAAATGTGAGTTAGTTATTCTAGGTTTGATTGGATTACTGAAGCTGCTCGAAGTTGACAAAAACGTTCTATGTGGCTTAAAAAGTCTAATACAGTAGACAAGCGTACAAAATAAAACGTGGCTGCTGGTTCAAGAAAGCCACACCTATGAGTGATGTATACCATCGAATCTCACTATGTAGAGTGTACTTCATAACCGGAGGCTTAAAATGCTGGTGTTTCTGACTAACTGACTTGTTTGAATAACGATTTTGCAGATTATAGCGTTGATCCTAGGTTTTTGTGTTTTAGAAAATTGGTCTTTGCTCTTAGATGTAACGATCTCAGTTTCTAATATCTGGTTTACATTTCTATGGTTTCGCCGTATTCTTGGAAGTGTCATTGTCTACAGGGCGGCCGTCATTTTATAGAGTTGCCACTTACGATTCGAAATAAGTGGAATTGCTGAAAATCGATATGACACGTCTACTGGATTTCTTAAACCATTAATTTTCGAATCTAAGCAGAGCATACAGAGTATAAACCAATCAGAAAACCTTGTGTATATAACACGAATTTCATAAGAAGAAGTTGTCAATTCAAATGTTATGGTAAATATCATTTAGTAAAGGCTAGCAGACGTTAGTTCAACACTGATATTGCTGTAGCACAAAAACGGAGAAATCATTGGCTGAGCTGTCCATGAAACGCTTACAGTCGTAATTCAGAATTCAAGTGGGATTTAGTCATTAAGAGTACAAATCAACTAATGAGTAAGGCGATAATTTTTGGAGTCTAATATAGTCTCTCGATTTTTGGCAAATCATACTTTTTAGAAATATTACGGTAGTAAATAATATATAAAGGCAACTACTTCAACACAGTACAGGTTTTCGTTTTATTCACACTATTTATTCAATGTCTTTGATAATTAACGGTTTTCTTCTTAGAAACATCGCCCATTAATACCAAAACAATGAAGGGAATGTGTTTCATAGAAGTAACAAAAGTTATAATATTTCAACTGTGATAAGAGTTAATAGTAAGTAGTTCAATATGGAAAATTGCTTTTAGCATATTTTTTCCTACTGTCGATAATTACCAGTTTTGCTCTGTATTCCATTTGCTTTAACTGTTGCATTAGATTTTGTTTCGAATAGGAAGCAAAATGAAATTTGCTTTGCCACTATATTTCTGTGAGTTAAGCTATGAAAATATTCCATTTTAAGAGTAAAATTGCCTGTGGATAGCGTGAATCTCTGAGTCTATTTGAAAGACTCAGCCTCTTGCCAAAGTAACTGGGATATCTTCAGCAATATTCAATTCTGTGGTGTTTCCGTCAATTTTTTCACGAAATAAAATTTCAAACCACGTGCATATTGCCCATCTGTGTTGTCCTGTGAGCAATAGCATATTTTAATATGCTTATCTTTGGACTAATCTCGGATTATGTTTCAATTAGCTTTTGTGCAGATCACATGTTTGTTACGAAATAAAGAGAACGAAGACATTAAATTCACATGCATCAGTGTGTGAATCACTAAATTATTATTATTGTATTTGATCTGCACACTTTAAGTAAAAAAAAAGAGAAACTGTCAGTCATTCTCCCTATTTCACTCTAGTTTCAACTTTGTTTGTCGAAGTTCCATCAGTATGTTCTGTCTGTCATTACACATTATAGTAAAGAGCGCTGTGCACTAGTTCACGTGTCGTCTAACCGATTTCGCACCACATTGCTACAATGGACGATATTTTATCCACATTCTCCTTCACTATCATAGAAGTGACAAATTACCATTAAGTCTAGACGCTCGGACGTCGTCCAACAAATACTGTATTTGTATTGAACTAAGGAGCTGCAGGCTGTCAATACAAAATCCAAACTCAATAAAGCATTCAACATATTTGATTCACTGATTGAGTTTCAATATAGAAATTAGCACAGAAGTGCAGCAGTTCAAGTTAGTATACTCCATGTACCACACAGAGGTTGATAAGAGAGGAAAAAAAAGAAATACTAAGGGAATATAATAAGCAGAAATATTAGGGAGAACTCACTTCATTGGGTATTTATGCAGTCAGATAGCTAAGGCCATTTATCTCCTTTCAGATAAATAGTTACCTTCAAGGCATGCTCGATGTACTAATCAAACCAACACCGAACAAACCTTATAATGCACCTATTGTTTTGACTGACAGTTCTGTAGATAAGTAGTGATTGTATGACATTCAAAGAGGTTATGAACAGTCGACTGGTAACGTCCCCAAGAAATTTTATTACTGTAATCGCCAATAAATAAGCCACATGTCTACGGTTTTATGCTTTCTCTCCTAGATTTTGTGAGTACCAAGCAGGTATAAAGTCGTCTATGAAACTCTATCCCTAAATATCATATTTATGAAGATTAAATGTGGTAGTGTTGAAATATTGGTTCCATTTTGAATTCCTAATCACTACTGACTTATGCTGTTGTCATTTCGAACCATTCATGTGGTCATAATTTAAACTTCACTTCAAAAGGATAAACTCTAGATATGGCTTTTATATTCCCAGTATGATTTCTTTCCATATGTATCACGTCGCATAGATTTTATTAATCAAGTTACAGTTCCTGGCTCTAATATATCCACACTAAGTGCATGCGGTGAAAGCAATGAACGAGTATTAAAGTGGTTGCCCCTCATGCGACATACTGTTTGAATCTTTATAGAATTATTTTTAATGGTCACCTACTGTCTTGTCATTCTTCATCCTACTCATTTATTATTTGTCTGCCTTGGACTATTCCTTACAGATTACCCGCTGATAACTCATCGCTTAGAAGAAGTAAAGAAGTTCTCAGTCTGAGTGAATATTGTGGTATGAGATGTGTGCTGGTCAAACATCTGACACTTTAAGTAAGATATCCATTGTGATATTCAATAAATCGCCACATTGGGTTTGTTTCAAAGTTGAAAAGTCAGATAGAAATACTAAGCACTCCCATGAGTTTGATCTATTGGCGTTTTTTCTCGGTCAACATTTCGTTCTCTGATTCTCTATCCGTTTTCTTCACAACATATTAATCATTTGATCATTTCCCACTCTTATTTCAGAGTATCCCAAACTGAGCATGTATAATATTAAATCTATTTAGGAACTCTACTGTATTTCATGACGTTATTATCTAGGTGGTTTTGTGCACTGTACACTTCATTTCTAGGTGGTGAAACATTTGCTCCGTCAAAGTTTCTTGATTCTTGTCAATAAAACATACCACAAGCAGTCATGCAAAAAAGATTTAAAGACATGGAGCCAAGACGTTTCTCGATTTCAATGGAAAGTAGTAGTAGACAAAATTAGTTAATTGTATTCTTCGGAGGCTTGAGACAGATAAGTATTTATCCGTAGGATCGGCGTTTGTTCAAATTTAGATGCCTTTTATTTCAGAAATAGAATGATTACAGCATCCAAATTACATATTACTATTATTATTCCTTTCGATTCCGAGTAGAACATGAAGCTTCAAAAACACATCTTGTTGTCCTGTCCTCTGTAGTCTTTAGCTGGCTTCACGATTTCTTATAAGCTCTTATCTCCTCCCAACACGATCTTCCTCGCGTCACTCTACGACCAAATCGCCGTTTCCCATTTGGGTTACTAACGAAGGGCTGCCCAACACTCCAGCGAGCACTTCGTGGCGAATTATTTGACATGTGAAATAATCAGTCGTATAGTTGTTGAAAGAAGTTTATATACGTTTACCGCACTAAGTTAAGTAGGGTTGAAGCATTTCCCATATTACATCATGAACGATACTGCAAAGAGCCTTCTCAGAGTTGATTACGTCGAGGTTAAGAGTTGGCTGCCAATTTACGTTCCGTTAGATGATGATACATAGCGTTGCGATTTAACCTCAGATGTTTCGATTCTCCTGCATCCAGATTCTTCGTAGAGGCGTTTTACATCCACAACATCTACTAGTCTTTCCAGCATGGACAGAGGTATGTTTCCGCATCAGTTCCTGCAAACGATTAGGTCACCCTTCTTTAGAAGTTTGACAGGATTGCCTTTCTTCCAGTTGGTAAGTAGAAGACCAGTCCTTCGAAGCGTTCTGCAGCAGTGACGTGGACAAGTAATATGACATCGTCTTGTCAGTTACCAATGCTTCTGAGGAGATTCATTTTGATACTCCTGCCAACTCTGATCTCGGTGGCTTCAAGAACTTTAGAATTGGGTTTCTGTTGGAGGCGTGGTGTTGACTGGCTGTTCTGTGTCTGCCGAAGGTGATGGTGTTGCTTTTGAACAAGTTGTAGGCGATGGTCGATTCTAGAATCTTTTGAATTGATCATACCAGCATTTCCATTCTTTACTCCTCTTTCTTAATTAGGTCTCATTCATTATCTTCCATTGGTTTCATATGCGTTGATCTGCTTATGCATAAAGACCTGCTTTTTCGATACAGTCTTATCTAGTCTCTCCCACCTACACTCTGTTCTGCTTCTTTTTCCAATATGTCGTAAAACTGTCCTCCATCTTCCCTAGAGTTCTTATTCACAACTTCGTTCACTGCAGTATGGATGGAACTCAGCTTCTCCTTCCAATGTTCATCTCTACACTGGTTCATATGATACCTCACTAACTCTCTCTCTCTCTCCTTTATCAGCTTTCACGTGTCCATAGACAGCAATCTCTTGACTTGAATCTTCTCCCTTCCCAAGAAGACGGCTGGCTATACAGGTTTCCTTCAACGTCTGCTCCAGGGAGTTCCAGCGTTTCTCCACACAGGTTCACCTGTTGATGTTTCTGAATATCTTCGATTTTCCCCTGATGACTGAGGTGAAGGTATCCTTGAATGAATTATGCTTTGTCCCAATCTTCTTTGAGAGCTATCGATTTTATCTTGCAGATCCTTTGCACGAACTAGTGGTCTCATCCCAAATTTAACCATCATCATCATCTTCTCGATTTTGTGTCTAGTCGTCTAAATCTGCAGATTTTGGAGACTGAAATGAAGCCTCTCAGGATTTCGGCGTGTAGATCTGGCGGAATTCATGTCACCTTGTGACTGTATGTGCAGAGAAGTCTGTGGAGAGTTCACAGTATACTCCTCTCTACTCACAGATTCGCTGATATTCACACCACTCATCAGGATTTTGATGTCACCTTCTGTTCGGTGTTGTCTCTATTACTGGTTGCAATTGTCTACAAAAGACTTCTTTCTTCTCTTGGTCCGTGTTGTCTACAGAATCATAGAGTTGTATAATTGTAAGTTTCTTTCCAATTTGAGTTGAATTGGTTGTCATGATCTTTGAGGAGATTGGATCTTAGTGCATAAGAGCCTTCGATGTTGTTGATGACATCAGTGGCAGGCATACCGTCGATGTGGTCATGGTTGTCTGAGTGATGGGAGTAGATTATTGACTTTGTAGTTAAAAATCTGGACAGTCCACTTCCATCCCATCTGCGCTCATGAAATTTTAGCATCTCTGTAACATCCTCTAATTTTTTTTTTGCAGATTGGCTAACCTTTCCAGCCATCGTCGAACGCCGTGAGGACATATCAAGTCCCCATGCTTACTTACGATTTCGTCGGAAGTATAAACAGAGGCTGACTGGCTTCGTGGAGGCTTTCACCAGCCTGTGTCACTTCGTTTCTCCGATTCCGGAGAATAAGAAGTTTATTTTACTTTTTCTTCTGCTGTGCTGTGAAGTTTCTTTAGCCATTGGATTGATTTTCCGGGGTAGGATTGCTAGCGCTACGCTTAACCTTACATCTTTTTCCTGACTTAGGACTGGATAAAGGACTAGCAAACGTGGTCGTGGGCATATTATATGGTTTACATCACGGATATGCAAATTAAATTTATAAGAATGTTAGGGGTATTTGTTTGAAATATAGTGGTATAATGCAGAATGATAGGAAGCGGCCAGAATTGAAATCAACAACAGAGGTAGAAGTGTCTGTTCCTTGAATCTGGATTTCTTTTACGTTGTGACTGTGAAATAACCTCATTAGACAACTTGTCGTTAAACCATGGGCCTATTGTCAGCCAATCACAACAATTTATTCTCTTCTGACATAGCCGAACTTCAATATGGCTAAGAATGTATAAATATAATATGATGTTTTTAGCTTTAATAAAGGTTCGTTACCCAGTCTCTTATCTTCTCCCTTTACAATATCTTTTGTGGATGAGTCGTTAAAAGTAAGTGTATGAAGAATAGATGGAGCTTCTATCCAACGTAGATCTTTAAAGTAGTTGTGAGTTTAATTTGACTATCGAAGACCGTGTCTATAGTTCTTAGAAGCGTACAACTTTATACATGCAGTCGCCTAATCTAGTGTATCTGGTGGGAGGTGGATTTATGACTAAACAGCTCTTATTCAGATGAGTTAGAAATCAACTTGCTGTAACAATTACCGGTTAGGACACGCATTATCAATCTCACACCAAGGTGGTTAGTCGAAACATTCAATCAGTGAAATGAATGATAATCACCTAACTTGTGTGTGTGTGTGTGTGTTTCGGTGCATCGTGATTCCCTAGTCAGTGTTCAAGACAGCATGCCATTCAACAACTCGAAACACTTTTAGTCGATATTTAGATTAGCAGATATGTCTGTCTAGTAATTGTGACTGATTTATTGCTTGAAAATAAGGGTAGCTATTAGTCATTTCGAACAGTCAGGTTAGATTTCGTGTAACTGACTCAAAAATATAAACAAGTTAACCGAGTTTGTAAGCTATGTATTTTCAGTTCACTGGTTTGGAGTAAGTGAATGTTAGTCAAGAGAAAGTATTGCAATTTGGAATGAGTGACGCTGAAGAAATAAACGCACAATAGACTTTCCTTATAGTAGATAATTGAGTGGTGTGCAGAAAGATTGCCTTCAGCCATCGTTAATTGATATCATAGAGCTATGTGAGCTGCCTAAATCAAAATAATATGCTTATACGCATCATGTAATAAATAAATAAATCACATCACAACAAAAGTCAATAATATTTTCACAGTATACCTCTTTTCCTGCATTTTTCATTAGCCCTTGGCATCATTCAAGTTCTGTAGTTATTCTGCGATCTGACTGACACGTAATTATATCCCCCTCAGTTAACCGAAATGATCTATGATCATCTTCTGTGCTGTTTTATGTAGGAAGGATAGTTAAACGAGGACGATAAAAAAAGAAGCGGGAAATACACCTATAGTAATGTTGATGGAACAGAATAAATAAGGAAACAGGTGTTATCATCAAAGTTTTATATCACTCCCCCTTTAGGTGTTTAAATTGTGATACATAAAGTGTTACAATCGAATATGCGAAAGAACAGGGTTTTTTTTTCTCAAAATTAACTTGATGGTTAGTGGAAAACTTGGTTGACAGAGATAATATGATTATCGCTAGCTAAGGTGAATTTGCAAAATATCAGAAGGAAAAGAACAAAGTTTATTTTAATAGATAAGCAGATGAAAACACTTGCAATTAACTGGGTCAATTTTGAATTAGTAACAAAAGATTAAAGATGCACAGATCTCCATACAATTTTATCTGCTGAACAATTTAGTCATGTGTTATTTTCTGATACAAATAAATGAAGGTGTGCAAGTTGCCCAGGATTTACCGAACTTCATCAAATCCGGTTAAAATTTAATAATATATAAATTATATGTGATTCACCAATCCTCTATATGTGTGTAATGGATGTCAAGTCAGCCTACACATGGTTTAGGCTTAACATTTGCTGAATTATGACGTTTATATTAATGATTATTGCCTGATAAACTGTGACTTAAGGGTATGTTTACACTTATATGAGTTCAGGTTGTCAACTTAATTCATTACTTTCAAGAGAAGAATGGTGAGATTTTACCTAGGATGTATAAATAGCAAGTAGCAAATCTGATTTATGATTTTACTAGTTCGCCCAAACAGCCAGCTAGAAATCGGGTGGTTTAAACTGAGTCAAGTCGGGCTAATCAAGGCACTCTATTCAAACTCACGTAGCCGTGTAAGGGCCTATGGGGAATTGTCATCTGAATTGATAACAACCAGTGGTGTCCGACAGGGATGTCCACTTTCCCCATTCCTGTTTAACTTCATCATAGATATGCTAATGGAAGTATCCTTAACTGAACGTAATGACTTGGGAATCGACTTGTTACCAGGGAATAGTCTTATGGACTTAGAATATGCAGATGACATACTCCTGTTAGGGGAGGATGCTGAAAAGATGCAGTCTTCTGAACACCTTGAGCAGCAATCTTCGTATGTTTGGCATGCGATTTGCCCCTGCAAAATGTAAGATGCTGCTACAGGACTGGACTACGTTAACTCCTAGCTTAGTGATAGGGAGTGGAGTGATAGAACATGTTGACCACTTTACCTATTTGGGAAGTTGTATCAGCACCAACGGACTGATTGGCGACGAAATCTCAGCAAGGATCCAAAATGCTCGAGTTGCTTTCGCTAACTTACACCATCTCTGGCGTAGGCGTGACATCCGGCTATCAAACAAGGGACGTGTGTACTGCTCAGCAATTCACTCCGTCCTACTCCATGGCTCTGAAACACGGCCAATACGAGTTGAAGACATGAAAAGGTTGACTGCTTTCGATCATAGATGTCTGCGATCTCTGTCTCACGTTAGGTGGTTTAATAAGGTAAGTAATGTTGACGTTAGGCATAGAGTGTTGGGCAAAGAGGGGAAATCAATCGACGAGGCTATAAAGTTACATAGATTGAGATGGCTAGGTCACGTGCTGCGCATGCCTAACCATCGCCTCCCCCGCCCGACGGGCATTACTAGCTGATATAGGTGCAGGTTGGGAAAGAGTAAGTGGTGGCCAAACAAAAACATGGCATCAATCCATGAAATCCTTGACAGTTAAACTGAGTCAGATAGGGAGATGCAGACTTCCGGGTTGGGGCCCTCGGGACTCTAAGAATCAATGGCTGGAGACCATAGGTGACATGGCTCAAAATCGTTGTCAATGGCCAGCGCAGATGTATTCAGTCTCTGTAATCTTTCATATTTCTTTCTACCATTATCCATTCTGTTTCGCTCTTTTACTTGTCAGACTGTATTGATTCTGTTCACTCATCTTCTTGTCTACCTCTGTGTGCTATTTGGAACGTGGCAACTGGAACTGCTGCTGCACTTCGGTGGCAAGTTCTATGTTGAATCCAGACAGAGAGACAGACAAGTCGGGCTCACCGCTGACGAGATCGGCCCTACATGATCACTTCTGCATAGTTAGAACATACTACTGATTGATGTTAGCCAGCATCTCAGTCAGTCAATCAGCTGTACACATAGTTTGATTGCAAAAAAATTAGCTGTCCGTTGTGATGTGAATCAGATGCGTCTAATATCCTTCTATATAGCCATCCCAATTTATGAGACGTACTTTTTTCTACAGCTGATAAAATTAACTTACTTTATACGTGGACAGTTAACATTTAGTGCGACAATAGTAAGAGTACCAAATCAAGTATTTTCGTAGTATACACTCCGGTAGAAAGTTCGCTTTAGTTTCCATCGAAAGTTATAAACACTGCAACGACATATTATTAGACAGAAGACCAGTAGTTCAGCGAAGAGTCTCTTTTCGGCGAATTCATTTTCATAGCTGTACAATCGCCAATATATATGTGTGGTTGTTTTGTATGTGTGTGTACAATAAGTTTTCCAAACCAAAATACAGTTAGTAAATTCAGATGAATTGGATGTTGATATAAGAGGGTAGTAACAGAAGTGATGAGTTGTCACAAACAATTGTCAAAGAAGAGTTATACAATGACATGCATAGTTTGATGAAAGAGCTGTGCTCAGGGTGTACATGAAAACAAAATAACATACGGAATTACGCAATAGTTTTAAGTAGTTAGAAAAATAGGCATACAAACAAAAGCTAAGTCGAATCAACAGAGTTGTTACCATGAGAGTAGAAGAGGTTGAATAATTTTCTTTTGTATGCATAGTTCTGGTTCCTTCAACTGAACGGCTAGGGTTTCTACGATGCGAAGAAAACGGAATCGTACTGTCTTTGGAAGGTTGTTCTTCACTTTGTAGATTACTTTGAAGTAGGAGGTGTTTGTTGAGATGGAATGACCAATGGTGACGAGATGTTCGATTATTTCACTCTTTATACGGCCACTACTTCCTTTCTGCATCCACGCTGGATAGTGTTCTGTGACCATTTTTGACAGAATGCTCGTCGAACGACCGATGTACCTGGCTCCACAGCAACAGGTGAACTGATATATACACATAGAAGTGGTCAGGTGCGGGATCTTGTCCTTTGGGCTTTTGCAGATCAGCGGGCGACTGGAGAACACTACTCTCAATGTTATTGTTAACAGTATTCTAATATTATATTGTAAAACATGGTGAGATATACAGCTTACATCACCAGGCTGAATCATCTCGAGCAGCCTGATAATCAAGTCGGTCTCAAATGGGCTACGATCAGTTTAGTTCACTTCTATATGCCAAAAGATAACACTGCAGACTAGCGGTTACAATCTACTCATATCACTTAGAGTAGTATACTTTGTACAGCTAAATAATCATGTTAGCTTTATGAGTAGAATAATCGAAGAAGCTAGACAGAAAGAAAAATAA